AACACTGTATTCCCTAGACATTAAAGTGAGTCATTTAATTTGCATTTTATTTTTTCTTGCTCCAAAGTAACCTAACAGAAAGGAAAAGCCAGTTGGCAGGAGATCAAGTTACTAAAAACAAAAGGCTTATCTACAGTTAGCACTGATTTTCTGTAACTGAACTCCTAAGATTATTATAAATCTAAAAAAAATTACTAATATTTTAGAGGTCATGGGTTTTTGTTTCTTCGTTTTAAAACTTCCTCCTGGACATCTAAATCATGTGTCTTGGCTGGCACCTAAAAGCCATTATGATAAAAACAGAATTCTTCTTTTCCAAACTGTTCTTCCCTTCACTGGGGCTTAAAACTTGGAAGTCATCTTTACCAGGTGCCTCCTTCATCAGTCAGTTACTGACTGGTCCAGGCAGTTTCTTTTTACCTGTTTCTCTGATTTGTTTTTTCTTCTCTCTTCCCTTGGTTACTATCCCATTTAGACCCTCAGTTCATGCCTGAACTATAATGGCCTCCTACCCATCCCCAGACCTTCCCCTCTAGGGGACCTTCCCCTTTAATCCACCCTTACTGAATAGCAGTTTAAGACTTAAAGGGGTGAAGGTTTCCAGGGAAATTAGCCCTACTCTGTCTCAATTGAAATCATCAGCCCCCCATCCAGCCCTGGAAGGTGCCCGGAGTTCACAGCACAGCCAAGCCCACCAAGACTGGCAGAGAACAGACAGCTCCTGCCCTAGTGCCAAGGCTCTGCCCAATTCCACTTCAGAGTGGACCCACTTAACACCTTCCAGAGTTCTCCATACCCTCGGGTTCTGCCTGTATGTCTGGACTGCACCTATGGCTATGTCTACACTCCTGGATTCATCTGGTGTAATACCCTTGCTACTCAAATGTGATGTGCAAACTGGGAGCGCAGGCCACCCCATCCGACACCTACAGATTCACAATATGCATTTTAACAAGACCCCCAGCTGATCTGTATGCACATTTCAGTTTGCTATTATTCTCCAACAAGAACCTTCAATTCCAATTACGTTACTAGTTTCACACACATTCCAATTCTGCCTTTGTGCTTCTGTTTTTACATTCTTATCTGTATTATCTTCTCTTTTCCTCAAAACACAGATAAATCCTACCCAGCTCAGGTTTCCATCATCCCCACAGAGCTTTCTCTAAGACTAAGGTTCACACTGATCTTAACATTCTCTAAACTTAGGCCTTTAGTCACCACCATTCAATTTCAATTAGATACTGCTTTATGTGAAATGTTAAAGTTTTAGTTCTGCTGCTCCACAGACAGGCTCCTGAAGGCAGATGCCATGGCTTATTTTTCTTTCGTATCCTCGTTCCCCACAGTGCTCAATGCAGTGTTAGGCAGAGAGTAGATACCCAGGAAATATTTGCTGGTTGGCTGATTTCAGTACCTTCTGAAATAACTACCCATTCAAGGTCAAATTAAAAGATTACAGAACATGAGAAATTATGACAATTAATAAAAGCCATGTAAGCCACAGAATTATTCAATTTTGCTAGATCTGGACACCATAAAATTAAAATATTACCTCTGGATTTTCACTTAAGTATATTTGCTTAGATATGTTGTTTATTGTACAGATCCACTGTAAGAGGGGGAAAAAGTAGAAAAATATGATTAATAATACTTTCTTTTCCTACAAAGCTTCTTTTCTAAAAAAGAATGTTCAATATTCAACTGAAACAGAAGTTTCATTAAATGCAACACAGGTTCTTCCTTGTGAGGAAAACACCTTCACATATATATATATGTGTGTGTGTGTGTGTATATATATGTATATATATGTGTATATATCTATGTGTGTGTATACATATATACACACACATATATATATGCACACACCTATATATACATATATATGCACACACATATATACGCACATATACACGTATAGTATTTGAAGGTATAACAGAACACTGAGCAGATTTATTAACTTAAAAAATTTTATTTTACACAAGGAAATAAAAAATATAGAAATCATATTAAACTGTAATTTAATAGTCTGTATTTATCTTTCCCACCAAACAAAACATTCTGGACTCAGGTATCTTCATAAACATCAGTACAAAAAAGTTAAGAGCTGAACATAATCCAAGTGAATACACGGTACACACTTCCCTTCTTTCAAGTTTCTAATTAACATAAACTCTCTCTCTCTACATCTTCTGCTTCACTCTCTAGGACTCCCAGTGCGAGGTAAGTCTCACTAAGCTTAAACTAATCATTTTGTTTGGTAAACCCTGCAAAAAGCAGACATATCTGTGCTTCTTTAGACACCAAAAGTAAGCTTTAATACTTTTCCAAGAAGTAAATAAAGGTAGACCTCTACATGATTTCTAAACTTGTCTTTTACCAAAACAATCCTAATGCCAGATAAACTGACTCAAAATCAAACTACGGTATATTTTTACAGAAGAATGTTTCTCAAGACAGTTTTGAAGTGTTAGTTCTCGGTAGTATCTTACTTCCATGTTTGGTGTAACAGAAGTAAAAATGGAGCCAAAAAGAAAAGGCTCATGAAGAAGAACAGAAACTCCCAAATCTTTGTCTTTCTGTCTTTCATGTCCCCAAGGTTTTATGCTTTAGCTGCTTCCTGCCATGCTACACCTGCAGCCACTATGCTTTTAACGCGACAATACTGCCTCAGAGGGTTAGGAAGGGAATAAATTCAACAGTCGTCTCATGATGTTAACGGCCTGCCAGAAAGCACCAGTCACAAGGTCATCTCTGAATGGGAGCCTTCAAGACAGCAGAGAGACCATCTCTAAAGTCCCTCCAGCTGTAAAATTCTGTGAGAAACTTGAGAACATTGTCATCACTAGAATTTTCCAAATTCTCTATAATGAACACATTAATGTTTCATAATTAGAAAAATATTTTCCTAATGCTGAAGAAATTAATTAGTTAAAATGTTACCTCTTCATGGTCCTTTTTACTCTCTGCTTGCAAAATTGAAGATCTGAAAAAAATTGAGAAAAAGTCTGACCCTCAACTTTTTTATAAAAGTACTTTCACTATGATCTGAGAGAACTTATCTCTAAAACTATATTGTTATTGTTGTTAGGTGCCAAAGTGTCGATTTCGACTCACGGTGACCCCATGTGACAGAGCAGAACTTACAGGTAATATGTAAAAATAAACCAGCACCTCAGGAAAAGCAGGGCACCACAGGCATTAGCACTCAGATTTGAACAGCTCTGACTCTGGCTGTCTGGGCCAGGATGTACCAGAAGGGAAACAGGCGCTGGTCCTCAGAAGGACAACCACAACAAAGGTACACAGTCAGTAGGACATCTCAGCTTTCTGACACTTAACGATGCTTCTTTCAAATTTAAATCAGCGATCCTAACAGAAAATACTACCTTTACTTCATTACTGATTGTTCCTCTGTTAACAAGGTTAAGTCATGATTTTCAATATACTAATCACTGACATAGGCGTATTTAGCTTTTCTATAAAAATTAATATTTTAAAAGTTGGGGAGAAAATAATTTTTACTAATTTGCATCACACCAGGAATGTGAAGTGAGAAATCATATTAAACACTAGCACAAAACAGAAGATACCAAGATGTAAGTACTTATAGTAACATAATTTAATAATTTGGTAATTTTGGCAAATGAACACAGGAACTCCCAATATCTAACATGATATTTGGCGCACAAACTGGGATTCGATACATGTTTGTAAAAGGAATATAAAATTAAGCAGCCATTTTGAAAAAGGCAGTGAGGCATGACATCTTAAACAATGTACAGAAACATAGGAACACAGTGACTTCAGAGAACCAGAGCGTGCTCCTGAACATCAGGAAAGGTCCAAGACAATATTCTAATCAAGTAGAAAAAACTGCAGCTAACCCAAACGTCTACCATTAGGGAAATGTTTGAATTACAGTGTGTATCTTTAAATGGATTATAATGCAGCCATATGAAATGTTTTTAGTAAGTGGATACAGATACAAATTACATATACAATATTTCCTCAACTATTTAAAAAACGTACTTAGGACGAAAATTGGAAGGCAACAGACCAAGAAGTTAACAACCGTTGCTTCTGGTTGGTGAGATTATTAGCTTTTTTCTTACTCCTTTTTATATTCTTCTATGCTTTTAAAAAATGTATCCTAAATGCTACTTCACAGGTTTTTATTTAATGCAAAGGTAAGAGAATTTTTAAAAAATGTCACTATAAACATAAATGAACTAAATAATGAATTTGATCAGAAATATTTAATTAATATCTTAAAATAACACTATTTATTAGGACCTACCAGTTGCAAGGAAACCCTGGTGGCGTAGTGGTTAAGAGCTAAGGCCGTTAACCAAAAAGGTCAGCAGTTCGAATCCACCAGGTGCTCCCTGAAAACTCTATGAGCAGCTCCACTTCATCCTATAGTGTCGCTGAGTCGGAATCACCCGGAGGGCAAGGGGTTTGGTTTGGTTTTTTTTTCTCACTGTGTGCTCGGCACATTACGTATGTTAGATTTCTACTCTTCACAACAGCATACAAAGCAGGAATTATGACTGCCCTGCTCCCCAGCCGTTTTACATGTAGAGAAGTAGGGGTACAGTGACTTGTCCACAGACACACAGCCCAAGTAGTGGATCCAGAATTTGAACTTTCTGGCCTCTGGGGTGGGGCTCTCTCCACCAACTGGTGCCATATCATACAGGATTTTCAGTGACATTCTCTTAACACAAAAATCAGGTCTCACCATATGACAAGGTCAGGGGCCTTGCTGTGTCAGTCTCAAAATATTAAGAAATCATTTACCCAAGTCAGAAAGGAAAATGCAACTCATTTCTACAAGATTTAAAAGAAAAAAATTATCTTAATACATAATAAGCCTAAAACGTCTATTAAATTTCTGAAAGAAATTATCTTGCATTTTGGTAGTTTAAAATATTACTGACTTTACTGATAGTAGAAAAGAAAAATATACTAACTTTTTTCCGTCAAAAGAGGTGATCTGAAAACAGTACCGCCTGTCTTCACAGTCCACAGCCATCACTGAACAGTTGTCTATGTCCATGGCCAGGCCTCCGGCTACGTCCCCTCGGGCCTGAGTCATTAAATTTCCACCCTGCGTGAAGTAAAACTGTCTGTCCCAGGTAGATGACACCAAGCCTGTTTTACTAAATGAAGAAAGCGTATTTTCACTTTTTAATAATGACACTATCAGCCAGACAAAAAATAAAGCACATCACACAGAACCAGCTTGGAAAAAGACACCAAGGTAGCAGGAAGAATAATATAAACATCAGTTTTTCAGCTTCTAAATTACATTCATATAGGTTTCCTCACTCATGTATGTGTGTATATTTTCAGAACAAGGCTGGAAATTATCAAATTGTGACTGTTATAATGATGCTCCATAAAATATAGGTTACAGGTCAGTTTCCAAGGGAATATATTCAAAACCAAAGAATTCATTTTAAATTTATCCTATCTTCAGGTAAAAACTAAAATTTAGTCTGATGATGTAATTACATATATTGTCAAGTATGATAAATGATATTTAATAGCATTTCCATCTTAATAAGATATTTAAACTATTTTTTATAACTCTACATGATTCAATAAATAAGTAGAATTTTGCCTCTGAAAATATTCACGTATTTCACTTCATCTGTCAAAAAATTCACGTAAATATTAACATCACTAAAAAGATTCAACCTTTAGTAAAATGAAAACAATCTGGCAGACAATATTAAGTACATATTACATTCATTTGGTATTACCACAGATTACATACGAGATATAAAAATAAAATATTTTTCTTACTTCCTAGCATTAAGGTATCCAGCCTTTCGGGTTAAGTTTCGATTAACAGGGAATTTGGTGGGGTCTGGGTCAGGTATATATAACGGGTCACTGGCTACTTCCAAATCTTCTATTGTCTGCTGCATGGTCTCTACATCACTGTCCATTTCCCTGCGAACACTAACATAGAAAACCGATTATTTATAACCAACCATAACGGACAAAGAACTCCTTACCAATCACTTTTATA